ATATTTTCAACTCGAGACTCTAAATTTCAGCATCAACCGTTTTCAGCATCAATTGCGACGTTATATAATTCAATATGGCTCAATATACGTTTATATTGATTATTCTTTGCTTAAAAGTAACGAAAGCAGGTGATGCAGGTAAAGAAGCAGATGGGTGTGTACGGCCAAAAAAAAAACCGAAGATAGATTCTGACGGGTGTGATGGGCTGGTATGGGGTTTTGAACTCTATTATTTTGAAAGTTTTAAATTTCTATATTATTTAATATATTGCATTCTTTTTAGCATCAACCTTGGCCAAATTTGGTAATTGAAGTGGCTTATTCAGAGAGCGTAAACCATCTTTTCGACAAAGTAAAAAATTATTGGCTCCGACCTAATAGAGCACATGATGTTATTGCCATCAAAATAGTGCCTCCCAAAGCACCAGAGACGATTCCCTCACGAATGACTGTAAATAATAATATAAGTCCGTACTGTATTACCATCAAGCTATCTCATTTAATTTTATTTTTTGATAGGCATGGTACCTTTGCACAGATAATCGAATGCCTAATGACGATCTTAATTCTACAGTATGTCATATTATTTATTCAATTTAATATTAAGCAATTTTGTATATTTAAAAAAAGGTTAAATAATTCTCTATTAAAGGAATATGAATTTGGAACTATTGATAAATTTGGTAATCGGCTTAATATTAAACCCGGACAATGCGTTATCAATATTCGGTTAGAATGTCTCTATAATGGAATGCCGTCTGAATTCAAATTTCCTACGCATGCTTTACCCAATCCAGTCTCCATTGACCTCTACCCCGTTCAAGAGTCTGTCTTGTCTTCCGTCCTCTGAATAGATGAATTGATATGCCTAGGTTTACTATAGGTTGGCTATGTTGGCTATGAATTTTATTTTGATTTGTCTTGCAACATATACTATACATTTAATATCCAAGTGTATTTGGCAAACATGAAATGTTCAATATTTCATTAATATTTTGTGCATAATAAAGAATTTTAAGCAAAAATCTTATGAGTGATTTTAAGCCTTAAAATCTATGGCCGTGAAACACTCATAAGCATTAATCCTTTTGAATTCGCTATTCTTAACTTTTAAAAAAATATTATGGTTTTTTAACAATTAATTATCATAACTTGATAAATCAATGTCGGGCTGAAGCTTGAAACGGCTGAAGCTAGAAATTTTAAGTTTTTTTTTTTTATAACTAGGCGCTTGAGTTGTTCGAAGGGAGCTAGAAATGAGCGTGTTGTATTGTATAGTATTGGTAAATTACGCATGTATAACAGAGAATCATAGTTTTGGATAAGCATTTACACACTTATATTCAAACCAACGGATATCGAATTAAGAGGGGCTTATACTAAAATTAAATAAAGACTTCGATTATCGATTAACAATACATAACTAGAACTTGCATATGTCACCAAGGTTTAATGTATTTACTGAAAGATAAGAATTTATATAGAAAATTAATATTATATTATCAGTATAGAAATTATTGGCTTAATTTTTTTGTTTAAATACTTTCTTTGGTTTAAGCAAAGAATAATCAATATAAACGTATATTGAGTCATATTGAATTATATAACGTCGCAATTGATGCTGAAAACGGTTGATGCTGAAATTTAGAGTCTCGAGTTGAAAATAT